AGGCCGTCCGGAGCCTTAACCTTACTCCCCCCTTTTCCCAAGTGCCAGTGTCGGGGTGCCAGAGGAGCCTCGGACCCCCGTATCCCATCCCCAAGCTGGCTGCGCAGAAGCCGCGTACACAGGCAGCATGGCCTAAGGCTGCGGGAGCCAGCACTACGTCGCCCTCACCGGGTGCTGGAGCTGCCCTCGTAAGGGCGGAGGTGGGTGCGTGCCTTATTTCCCCAAACACAAACCCACGCCCTGTTCTGCAAGAGCTCATGCCCCCCTAGCGCTGCTCCCGGCAGTGCGCATGGTTCAGCTCCGAGAAACATGCTAAACCACAGAGTAAGGAGGTTGCCTGCTACTTCTCTCTTGCAGTCAACAGTTTCGTATTTCAGAGAATGGATGTGTAACAAAAGCAGCTACCAACAGTGTAAGAAAAAATATCTTTGTTATTATGAATACATCATAAAATCACAATCATTTTATACACATTTTAGTATTTCATATATAAATAAAGTGAACAGTATAGTTACTTGAATGTGTAATAGGAACAAACATACGGATTTTAATGTGAAATTAACAAATTATTGGATCCCCATATCCCCATCTTTTGCTGCTTGTCTGGTGCTTAGTGTATTAACTCTGAAATACTTCTATGAAGAAGGTTACTCAAGCTATGATACCAACAATAACTCCAGGGATTACCTTAATTCCATTTACATTCAATTTTCTTCTCCTTTTCCTCATTTAGCCTGACTACATGGGAATTCTGTGTCAGTATTCCAGCTTTGCAAGAAAGACTAATCCTGTATTTACTTGGCACAGTGTTGAAAAACATTTTCCAGGCTTTACTATTTTGTTAAACCCATTAACAATCAGCATTTTGCCATCACTACACAGTCTTGCAAATGTTTCCATTAAATATATTTCTAATATTAATAAAATAACAAACTCTTTATTATCCTTCTGCTTATAACGTGATGTCTTAACATCAAAATAATATTTCTTTCTAATAAAATTATACATAGTATTTATATGAAACAAAGTTGTCATGTGCATGAACCTAGACATGAGACTAGGCACGAGTGTAGATGTTTCTATGTTCTTATTTTGGATTCTTGGGCGGGGGGGGGGGGTGTTACTTTAGGGGCCACAGAGTAATAAATACTTTACAAGGTAATGACTTCCCTGGGACCCCGGTAACCAAGCTTAAAATTGGAAATTATTACTCTGGTCTCGTTTTATAAAACTTTGGGTATGCTGAAGAAAATGTCACTTTTCTATGTGAGTGTCTGTATGTGTTTATCCAGAAATCTTAATGAAATGTTTCTGATACAATGTGTTATGAAAGTTACCATACAATTAATCAGAAATAAAATGAGAAAGGTCTACGCAAAGACATTAGCGGGACGCAGGCAGAAGGCTGAACCTTCCCAGCCAGCTGTGCTCAGAGGGGCTCTCCCTGCTGGAGGAATTCCTGTGCCTTCTGAAGTGGACTTGTATTTACCATCAGGTCCTTTCCTTGTTGCTGGGACTCAGCTGACAGCTTTGGGGCAGGGAGTCTGGGAAGAGGAGGGTGAAGCACAAGACAGACCCAAGGAGCACTTTCCTTCACCTTTTTTTTATGGAGTAAGCATGTCTGTTGGAAAACCCAGCTCTAGATGGTGACAACCAATGATGCAGATTCCAGAAAGCAAAATTTTTGAGGTTTCCATTCAGAAAGGCTCGTAAACATCTGCCGTGTTTCATGTTCATAACTCTGTAGGACAGCTTTCTGTACTTAAGAGTGAGGCATGTATTTCAGGTGCCTTTCTGGTCCAGTCCTGGAATTTCCCTTCCCTGGATGTTTATGCACAGCAGGGCAATCGTCACCGACCCCTGAGTTTGATGGTCAGACTGTAGGAACTTCTTGCATTTGGTATTTGTCTGTATTTGAAAGCAGAGCTTAGAACTAAAGTAAGTGCCTTTTTTAGAACACACCTTCTTGTGGGCAGGGGGCAGTAGAATTTGCTATGAAGGAAGTCACTCATCTTTATCATTAGTCGGTATCTGATGGTGCAAAAGCTTGCAGCTACTAATTCTACAGCGGGAATCAACTTGATCCAGCAGGTGATGGAGTGTGGTGGTAAGCATATGTGAGAGTTAGATCATTTGTACGAGTTACAAATACAACATTCGACATTGAACAAACTTAGAGTTGCGTATTCACAAGTGAAGTTATTTATGCCTACTTGCCTGCTTGAAATTAAGAAAATAAGACATAAATGCCTCACTTCATACTGTCTTAAGAGGTTTCTTTCAGCCTGCTGTGTATAAGACCATCCCTCTTTCGGCCACAAGTTCCTTCCCAAATCTCACTGATTTCCCTATTGCCTGGCTTACAAGGCTACCTGGGTCTGGAGCTGCTGGGAGAGCCCCTCCCAGAGGAGAAGCCCAAAGACTGCAGAGAGTGCTATCATTTTTTCTAAGCTATCCCAGTGACTTCATCATTGCTATGTAAATATTGATATACATACAACTTGAAGAGGAATACAGAGCGTTAATGTTCTTAAAGCTAATGCCCTTGCTTGTGGCATAGTGATAGTAGGGAGTTGGGAAACAATTACAGGAATGAACGCATCCTCTTAAGATAATATACAAAAGATATAGACAGCCAGCTGTTTATACAACATGACCTGTACCGGGGGGTGTAGGGATTACACCAACTACCTTTTGGCCCAGAGAATACGGAAGAGAATCCAAACCTTTACGGGTTATCTGAAATATGGGCTTATATTTTTACCTGTATTTATTCTGTCAGAACATGCAAGGCCCTGAAAGACATGGCAAAATAAGAAGCTTTTCTTTGCATTTGTGACATGGGCATGACCCAGCACTAAACATACCATAGAAGTAGCAGCTACACAGATACAGCATTGAAGCTTTGTGCTTAATATACTCCTTTATCTTCTAAGCATGTCAAAGTCCTCAGCAGCTGTGGTAATCCAAAAGAAATGGTAACATACATCACCCATGAGGTATGGTCTAACTTGTGCATCCAATTTTCCAGTGTAAAAAAAGGGCGCTCCCTTTTATCCCCTTTCACAAATATTGGATCCGACATGCAGAACCTCACCTTAGCCGCCCTCGTACCAGTTGAAATGTTTTGCCATGTGCACGCCTGCACCTACTCGTATTCTTCATACGCCCAGCCAAATACACTGCACCTCTGTATGCCAGTTCCATGAATGTCATTTAGGTCGCTCTCACGCAGCAGAGGAACAAACGGATGGAAGCTCTTTGCAGATACGAGGCCTCCCTGGTGTCTCAATTTCACTTGGACTTCAGCATTTCGCCAAGGAAGACATGCACCTACCGGAGGTCAGAATCCAACTCCTTCTGCAAGGCTGGGATTGATTTTGTGCTTGCCAATAAGCCTACCTGATTCACTTATCCCCGGTTTTCCTGCTTTATACATCCCCTGTTCTCTTGCTCATCTTTGTGTAATGTATCCAGCATAAATCCGTTGAGGAAGGGAAGTGGCCTTCACACTGAGCAGTGGGAGAATGGTAAGGGAAAAGTAGCATTAGTTTAGGATAAACACATCGTTTTGACTCTCTTTGAATGCTACTCTAGCAACACAAAGCCAAACAATTCCCAGATCAACAAGCAGCATCCTTCTATCAGTGCTTCACCACATTTTTTTTGCCTTTTTCTGCCATGGTGCCACATAACAGATGATGTTTCACTTACAGCTGTCCTCTGCTGTGAAACAGGGATCCACTCTTCACACTCTCCTTAAGCCTGGGGACAGTAGCTGGAGACGTGAATTCAGTGGCATAATACATTTACACAAATAAAGTAACTGTGGACCAAGGTTATCATCATTGATGTCGTTTAGGGATGATGTTCAGCTACCCCTCTACCCCTAGAAAAATTTGGGTACTGAGTCATTTGGACATAGAATGCAAGGTAGGCAGATGAAATGCTGTGGTCTGCGCTATTAGCTAGAGCATGCCTTAACTGTATTATATGCTAAGAAGGTTTTCTTGATAGTCTAGGTACAATGCACAGTGCAGGCTTGATGGTATGGAATTACTGGAAGAGGGCTACCATGAACCAGGAAAGCTAGAGTACAGCAGCATGGGGAAAAGCAGAGAGAAAACTGGGAAATAATATATATATATAACTTTATATATATATATTTTACATTGTCAGTGCATTTTTATATTGAACAACTCTAAAGGGGCTCTATTTTTCAGTAGGCATAGCTAAGGATGGGCTGCCTTCTGTATCCTGGAGTCTCTGGGTGCTGCCCGTGGTTTGTAGTCTTCTCCAGATCCAAAATCTACTGTGTCATGATAGTTTGTAAATTCCTGAGGTAATGGAAACTCCTCTGTTGATGAATGAGTCCTGTGTCCAAACACTCTCTCTTGCAGCTCAGCGATGTCATTTCTGATGTCTGCCATCATCAGCAATAGGAAATCAAATGAACCTGGTGGGCCCTGCAGTCACAAGGCATGGTCATTAATAATAATCCCTTCACGCTTACAGTTTTCAAACAGGTTGATAGAATTACTCATACAGGGGTAACTCACTGCTTCATATCAACTGCCAGAAGTTAACAGTCCCTTTTTGAATCAACCTGCTCTAGAAACATTTTCCAAAAGAAGGCAAATGTTTTTGCAGACAGAGCCTACATTTACAAGATGCTCAACCCTTTCGTTACTTAACAATTCCTTTCATGTATTTGCCTCCTAAGAGTATCTTGGCACACCATGGGAAGAGAGGAAATAAATCTTGGTTCCCTGTGTTTCTTCTTATTAAACTGATAGACATTAAATCCTTAGAATGATTAATCATCAATTATATAATTATATATATATACGCATATATATATATAATTATATACTTCAAAAATTTTCTCAAGAATGCTGATATTTGGACGGTATCTTTTCAATATCATAACCCTGCTGCTGTCCATCACTTACTAAATATATTGGTTATTACAATGCAGAGAGTATCCATCTGGTTTTATCTGATTTTAGAAAACCACAATTTCTTTTTAGTTGACTTCACACCGTAAAGTACACTGTTTAATACTGAGGACACCCTACTGGGCATACTCTTAAAAATCCATTCTACCAATGAGAAAACATTGTAAGAAATACATTTTAAAACAATTTCACCTGAAATAAAATTTTAAATACTCATCCTTCTCCTGATTACTTTTTCAAAGCTTATAGCTTCCCAAATCCCAAAGAGAGACAAGGGGCAGGATTTTAAAAGGTTCCAGGGATCCAACTCCCATTAGGAGCGGTGGCGGAACGGTACTAACTAGCGCTCTGCACGAGACCTCATGCTACTGCCTGCCGAGGATGTCCCACCGCTGTCATAGGGTGCAGGTGGCTTCAGTGTCACACCCAGAAAGGCAGGAGGTGTGTAGGCAAAAACACTTGGAAGAAAATAGGCAATTAATTTTCTTTCCAATAACATTTTCTGTGCATATAAAGTATCTTTCACTGTGCTCTTGACGCAGGAGAGGTTTTTCTTTTTTCCCCTTTTGTCTGACCTGTTGTTAGCAGTCAACATCACTCTGTTGTGGAAATTCCTCCTGTGAGCAATACTTACAGGTATCCCCTTTGGTCCTGGTGCACCTCGCTCCCCCTGTAATCAATACCACCTCAGTTAGTTTGCTGTGACTGAAGGAAACAAAAAAAATCACAGTTTGTCTCTGCAGACTCCCTTACTTACTGTCCCCAGACCAAGGATCATCAGCTTACGCTGGCTTCGAAAAAGAAAAGAAAGTGAAGGAGGAATGCAAGGAAATTGCCTCTGATTCTAGTGGACGCAGAGTTGGGCACTTCTGATATTTCTCCTAGACAGCAACAAGCAAACCAGTTAACAGGAGAAATTCACAAAAGAGCAGTCTAATGAAATGGGCTAAAGCATCAACATTTCTTCATGGAAAGCCAAAAGAGCTGCAGAGAAAGGAAAGGAGGCTTCTTGACAGATAGCCTGGCAGGGCTGTTTGCAAGACTTAAGGAATGTTGATCACAAAATAGCAGGAGGAAGACACAAAGGGATAGAACAACAGGGCGTTTTCAGCTTAGTGAAGGGAATGAAGTGGCAAAAGGGTGTGACTGCAAGTGTGTAGAGATTCTCTCTGGCAAGCCTGCATGTCACATGTGCATGTGCCCACATTATGGAAAACAGTACCTCTCCTCACCTTGCTACCATCTCTCCCTGGGGCTCCTGGTGGGCCCTGCAAGAGAAAAGAAAGTGTTCACAAGGATGTGAGAGGTTGTGGAGCTAAGACCAGTTATACATGACGGGAGGTGAGGATACTGACCACGGGACCCCGTCTGCCCTGCTTAATATGTGATATGTCTGGAGATGGGCCCATAGGTCCCATTGATCCACGAGGGCCAGGCTGTCCGGGAGGTCCAGGTGACCCAGGAACTCCTTGACTCCCTTTTGGTCCTGGAGCCCCTGCAATCGACAGCAAAGGTTACCTGTCAGGGAAAGCTTTTGGGAGACTTCACCAGTGCAAGCAGTGGGGACTGACTACTTTTTGAACCACCCAATGGACCGGTTGCCTTAACACACCCAAGTGCACAACAACACAACTGACACAGCAGTCATCTGAGACATTACTCCTCATCATAGTGACTATAGGAGATCTTCAGAAAACAATTAAACCTTGTGTATACAAGGAAGCCAAGATTGCCACTGCCAGGTGGTTAGGGACACAGACTGGGAATGGAAAACGAAAGCAGAAACGCCTCATTTTCACACACAGAAGAAAAGAACAAGTCAGATCTGAGAAACACCTCATAAAAAGAAAGCCTCAGAAAACTCAGGGGTTGAAGGCATCTGTCTACATGACTGGCACAGAAGCAAGCCCTTTTTAGTGGTGGGTTGCACCTCTCTTTTGCCCGGTACAGTAGCCAATGTGTTAGGGGCAAAAAAAGCCTCTGTTCCTCCATTTTGCTTTATATGCTTTTCAGCTTCTGCTAGTTGCAGCAGAGAATGTTAGTTTTTAGGAAGCAGATGGGCAACAAAGCATATGTTTAGCTCAAGAGAAACACTATGAAAAGCAAAACAGAAAATCAGGCATCTGAAACCACAGTTGCACAAAATAAAGACCATAAAAGTGCCACTAGCCGAATTACTTTATAATTAGAGGGGAAAGCACTTTTCTTCACACTGAAGACATGTGGAAGACGCAGAAGATGAGAGGCCGGTGGCCCCTGAAGAGCACTGTTGGTAACGGCAGGGAGGAGGAGGAGGAGGAGGCCAGCGGGGAGGGTTTTCAGGCGGAACGGGCAATTCTGCAGGACCTTGGACAGCTCAGTGATGGGGACGTCAGAGGGAAGCGCTGCCGAGTCAGGCCTACGTCAGAGACTGCAAGGCGGCGCACTGTGCGGTTCAGAGTCTGACGCAAACCTCCAACCACACTGTCCTTGCACTTAGGGCATGCTGAAGACTGGAGATGCTGGTCCTCCAGGAAAATGCGAGAGAAACTCAAGAACCAAAGCAAGATTGCAAAAGCGGGGATAAATGGGGGCAGCTCGGTAGGGAGTAGTCAAACCTTGTAAGGAGTATCTGCTAGTCCTCTGTAAGAATCTTCCTGAAACACAGAACAGTGCTAAAATTCCTTGGGTTTATCGCTAACCCCAAATTAGATCCGCGTTCACCACAGTCTGCAAAATTTTTAGCCTCACTGCCTGCAGGTTGCAAGGTGTCTGGCTCAAATTAGAGCTCTAGGAACTCTCTGCTTTTCTCATTGTTTCAAACCTTAGCAAAGAAGGTGTGAGTGGAGTTTTACTTTTCAGATTCTTTTGAGTCTGGAACACACATAAAGCGAACCAATGAATCCTTGCAAAACCAGACGAGGAAGAATAAAACAGTTGGCACAAACCCACTCAAACCGAAAGCACATTTTCTGCTCTAGTGATGACAGTGAGCTAAAGCAGTAGGTATTCTTGAAATGAAGTGGAGAGTGTTTTAAGACAGAGTTAAAATACAGGAAATGACAACTGAAGCAGGTGAGATATCCCAGGGAGAGGGAGAAATTTAACACACAGAGGACAAACACAGCTTGCATGCCAAGAAACACATGGAGACTAAGACACGATGGATGATGTTAAACAGCTGGCAGAGGCTGACCATAATGACCAGAAAGTTGTTTTTTTTTTTTTAATTTAGCACCAATGCAAATATAATAATAAATATGAAACACATGAAATCCTATCACACTGAAAGATTGAAGCTTAAAATTTTTATTTGTGGCACTACTGCACACTCACATCCCTCTGGTCTGTATCTTACCTGGAGGGCCTTGTTGGCCAGGCTGGCCTGGGGGGCCAGGGATATATGCATTAGATGCAAGCACTTTTTCACCAGTGATCTGCTTGCTAAGATCAGCAGCGTTATTTGGTAGCAAAGCAACCTGCCAAAACCAAAAATCACTGTAAGCTCTTCATCGTTCTGCTTAATAAATCACATTATTGGTTAAGCTTTAATGTGTACAAATAATGTATTTAAATATGTCATTGAAATAATCAGGAAAAAAAATGTGACTGTGTTGAAGCCTATGACAGCAGTTACTCCTAAGCTGGCCAATGTGATTTTTTTCCAAGTATGGACATGAAGGTTTCTGGAAGATCCTCTCATATTTTGTGGTTCCAAGGGAAACTGGCTCCCTGACCCTGCAATGGGACCTCCTTATAGGTAGTCTGAACCCCCTGGGAGGATGTCTGGGGACTCTTATTCTCACCCGTACATCTTTCTGACCGACCACCTTGCAGAAATTTAATGAGAAAACATTGTCATGGGGAGTAACAGTCTACAATGCCTTTCCAGAGGATGTTTCGGGTGACCCATGGAGACAAGTCAGGTTTTGCAGAAATGGTACTTTCTGTCTTCCACACACGGGGGGTGGGGTGGTGGTGGGGTGTGTGTGTAGCATGAGCTCTGGGTAGGGGATCCTAGAGATGATCCACACTTCAGGTATTGTATACCCAGGAGGTTGCCCAGGCTTCAAAGATGCCACATGAAAAACATGGCACCATTTCATTTTAAGGCATTTGTTCATTCTGGTACTTTCCTTTCCCTGGAACCAGCACCCTGATGTTTCCTGTGAGGCTGTTCACCTTTCGAGTCACCATGGAAGTACTGCAAGTCAATCCAAATGGAAGGTAGGAGAAATTCAGGAGACGCACAGCAACAAGTTGCCAAAAACTTAAGTCCTATAACTTCTTGGATCTTCTCTTTTCCCTTATCTGATTTTTCCTCTATTCATTTACTGCCCTGTCTCAAGACACCATTTGCTTAGACAGTTAAGTTCTCAATTGCTGCACGAACCCCTAACTTTTCATAGGTTTCAGTGACAGCCTCAGATCTTTTGTGGATCTGGCCCCGTGACCACTATTTAACCCAACAGGCGTCTGGGTCTGCTCTGCATAGAGACACAAAGCTAAAATAAGTGAGAACGTAAGAATAATTGCACACTATGGTTTAAAATGCTATTTTCCATTAAATCATATTTTAATTATCCATTAAACATTAATTTTCCCAGATTGAATGTATTTATTAATTAAATGTATTTAGAAATACTCTGCAAATGTTTAGTCTCTCCAGAGACAGCTGAGGGGAGATGACAAGCCAGGAGGCTGGTCTGCAGTGAGGAAAGAAGCTTATTGACGGTGAGTGGCTGCATGTAGAGTTGGGAATTTTGCTCTGCCTAACAGAACTGAAGAGCTATTTCAGCAATACCAGGGCAGATCTGTCCCCGGGTCAGCTTTGTTGCTGCCATGAATGAATTTGGCTCACTGGGTAATTTGATGTTGGATTCTGTAACACTTGCGTGGGAGAGCTGCATTAAATAAAATAGATGATGACTCCTGCTATCTGACAATGCTTTTAATCAGCTATTTGGAATTCCCTGCACTGGACTGTTCTCAAGACTCCTACTTGTTTCTGTAATTATTTGATATACACCCTCCTGCCCTTAGTGCAAACCTAATGTTTGTAAAGCACAGGAAAAAAAAATAACACAATGCACTTGCCGAACATTGTACAACTGGGCAAATTTCTTTTGGCAAACAAGTTATTAGTTAAGGAACGCACTTTAAGGGTAGCCAGTGCTGCTTGCAGTTTGAGGTTGGATGCACAGAACAGTTCCAAAAGAAGCAAAAGTGCGGGGGGAAAAAAAAGTTAGAAATGATGAGACAGTTCCTGGTGGCATTTCCAAAACACCAGTTTGATTTGTCAGGCTGGAATTTAAAGCAGGATGACAGGAATACAAGGATTTATTGGCCATTTTGGGGGAGCATTGCTGTTCCAAGGACAAGATGACTGCACTGAAGGCAAATTAAGTGACATGATGTACATTCTACAGGAATTCGGAAGATTCACTTCACCCCCACACAAATCAGTGGCTGGATGAGGTCAGCACTTCACAGAAGCCCCACAGGATGTTGCTTGTGTGCTTACTCCTGTGAATCTGCTCACACAGAAAACAGGGATCCAGCATGCCTGCAGCTCTGGGGTGGGCTGTCATCTTTGGTTTTCCAAAGAAAAACATCTTCTTTGTTTACCAATGACCCTGCAGCTTCCTCAGCCAACATCCCAGCCATTGCAGCACAGAGAAAAGCGTGGGACTGCTGAATGTAAAGGGGTACTCCATGGGTCACAGCACTTTACACCTGGGCCAGAAAAGGACAATTCAGTAGCTGGGGGCTCTCATAGCCACAGTGGCCAGGGACCGGCATGAGGAGGTCCCGCTGGCCAGCTCTGTTCAGCACATTGCAAAGTTTTGTTGCCCAGAGGTGCTTCCACCCTGTCCAGAGCAGGGTCCTGGCTGGCTACGAATGCAAGGACCATCACGCTGCAAAACTTCCATTATGTGACACAAATCAGTGAAGGGCTCTGCAGTGCCAACGCTGACATGCTAAAACTGGGACACGGAGTTAAATCCTGCGACTACCTGAGAGCATTATGTTTTTCAGGCAGTTTTTGTGAGAATATTTTCAGTCTCACCAGTGAGTGTTTCTCTTTAGGGGTGGCCACAGTTGAGTGACAGATTAATTGATGGCCTCTTTAGAGCTTGTACTTAAATTTCTGATCAGGTCTTATTTTGGGGATCTATTGCTATCTCAGCTGATAAATAGGTGTCACTTAGTATATAGTCCCTGACACGAATACTCTTCAGGTTATATTGCAAATGCCCAGGCTGGAGAAAAAGGTGTGTTTAGTGGCAACAACTAATCATGAAGAGGATTTGGAAGTTTGTTCTTCTCTGTTGCTTAAATAATGACTTGTTCCTACCAGCAAGGCTGTTTTAAAAACTTAGTAAGATGAAAAAAAAAAAAAATCACGTAGCTGCTGTGAAAGGATCTACAGATGCTTCCCCACTGAGTCAGCTGGACTTGAAGCATACACTGGGAGTGCCAAAATACCCAGGCTCTAGTCTAGCTCTTTGATATCTGCTGGCCAGAAAATGGTTGTTACATACACTGGGGCCAAACCATGTGTTTTTCATGTTGACTCACATCCTCTTAGGGATTGGCTATACTTACTGGCCTAATTTCTATTTCACCTTTTAACTGAACCAGGATCCTGCTCCAGAGTGACCTTGGCTTTCTCCAACCACAGCTCCAAATCTTAACAGCCCTTGGAAAACATCTTTTTTTTTCCATGTGCGTGTAAATATTAGTGAGGGTAAATTTTAATGAAAGACAGTACTAGAAACAAGACTCCAATACGTTGTGTTGCATGCTGCATCTGAAGTTTTGGGTAGTTTCTGGGAGATCTGTGGTTTAGATGACTTTGACAGTGCTTCACAGGAGTGATGTGGAACATAGCTTTCTAATTAAGATGTTTAAACAAATCTGTGCAGTAGGATCCAGCAATGCTCCAACTCCAAGTGCTGAACTGCTTACTTGATTGTTTTAAATTGTTGGCTGTGTGTCAGATATCTTTCTCCTAGTTTTCCAGCTTTCCGCTCTTCTTCCTTCCAGCAAGGTCGGAGATCAACCTAGGACTGCCCACAGCCCCCTAATATTTCAGGACAGTGCATCCCACTGGATGACCATGCAAGGTGACTTTCTGTTCCTGATCCTAGAACTACTCTGTCCTGTATCTGGAATGGATATTGCAAACCTCTAAAAGGTATTGGTGCCATCACCAGAGGTAGCAGGACTTTCAGATGTAGCAGGAGTTCACCCTGTCCTTTCCTAAGGAGACACAAAACCATACCTCCCACTTCTAGAAGCACACCCCAGTTCCCAGTTGTAGGGTTTGCTGGATTAGATCCTTCACAGGCTCTTCTGCTAAACATAATTTTGCATAAAGTTAATTACAGATCTTTTCCAACCTAAATGATTCCATGATCCTATGAAATCTGAAAGCCTTAACCACAAAACTGAAGACTCATTCCTGTAAACTGTCTCTCTGGCAGACAGAAATTAATTTTCCTGTACAAAACAGAAAAACTTTGACTGCAGATATTGACAGATGTCCTCTCCAGAAGAACCTGGACATGGGGAGCGTCTGGTGAAGCACGAGGGTTCCTGTCTCCCTGGGCAGAGAAGCAGCATGAGGCCAGATCTTCTCTCAGCATGGACAAAAGCTCTCCTCTCCGTGGGGTAAAAAATGCTGAGGATATATCAGGGCACCATTTCTTCTAGCTCTGTCTGTGTGAGGCACGACCCAGGGGGCTCCCTCTGAGGATGCCAAATAGGTAAGTCCTGCTAGGAAGACAATTTTCTAATTTAGGCTATGGACCATGACAGGACTTATCTATGAGGCCCACAACGACAGGTATAGATGGTGTTAGTTTTCCAGAGTTAGTTTTGAATGCAGGTACCTAACAGTGGAAGCTAGACACAGAAAACTTTCCGTTAATTAAGGCCATTGATTTCCATCAATTCTTGCAGCAAACGATTTGGCCAACAATGTGACCCCAGATCCCTCCCTGCGCATCAGTGCAAGCCTGTTCAGCATCACGGACTGTGGCTGGGCAAACAGCCACTCAAAAGCATGGATCCTTTTTTAACCTGTTTGCTACTGTTTTTTTGAAAACCACAATTTCCATCACACATGAAATTCGGTCACTTCCACACTTACCTTCATCCTGATTCAGAAGGAAAACATGACATTATGTGATTTTAGTCATAAAGAGTGTCTCAAACCTCATCATATTTCATTTTAGTAAAGCATATTTCTTTCTTCCTAATATAAATTACATCAAATGAATTACATTGAATTGCATTAAAGGCAACAAGTGAATATACCAAATTGTGTTTGGACACAATGAAATTAAATGAGCACCCTGGGTGAAATAATTGTGTCTGGTAAGCTGCCTGGCGGAAAAAGACCTGGGGGTAGTGGTTGACAGCTGGCTGAATATGAGCCAGCAGTGTGCCCAGGTGGCCAAGAAGGCCAATGGCATCCTGGCTTGTATCAGGAATAGTGTGGCCAGCAGGAGCAGGGCAGTGACCGTGCCCCTGTACTCGGTGCTGGTGAGGCCGCACCTCGAATGCTGTGTTCAGTTTTGGGCCCCTCACTACAAGAAGGACATTGAGGAGCTGGAGCGTGTCCAGAGAAGAGCCACAAAGCTGATGAGGGGTCTGGAGCACAAGTCTTAGGACGAGTGGCTGAGGGAACTGAGTTGTTCAGCCTGGAGAAGAGGAGGCTGAGGGGAGACCTTATTGCCCTCTACAGCTGCCTGACAGAAGGGGGGAGCCGGGGGGGGGGTGGCCTCTTCTCCCTGGTAATGGGCGATGGGATGAGGGGAAATGGTCTGAAGTTGCGCCAGGGCAGGTTTAGGTTGGACATTAGGAAAAATTTTTTCAGTTAAAGGGTTGTCAGGCTCTGGAATGGGCTGCCCAGGGAAGTGGTGGAGTCCCCACCCCTGGAGGTATTTAAAAGAAGGATAGATGAGGTGCTTAAGGACATGGTTTAGTGGTGGGATGGCAGTGCTAGGTTAACGGTTGGACTTGATGATCTTAAAGGTCTTTTCCAACCTAGACGATTCTATGATTCTATGATTCTAATTACAGCCTGTCAACACGCATTGCTGAGAATACTCCTGCAGAACATTTCCATTTCAGAGAACCAGAATGTTTGAAGGAGGTGTCACCAGAAAAGGCATTACACCTGCACCCCTGCTCCTGGCTCTCCAAATCCTGGGTTTCCGGGTTATTTCAATCCTGCCCGAGTGCAAAAGGAGGCCACATACATGAGAAATTAAAGTTAAAGGCCAGGGGAAGCTTTTAGGTGCGTTATTTTCTACTTGTAAGGACAGAGGTGACAACAGAAACAGTTGGGGCTGAGGGGGTTTTCTTTTTAAAAAAAAAAATCAAAACTACTGTATCTTCTAGTGACGTTTTTGTTTAGCCACACAACTCCTCTTTGGCAAGAATCCTGTATCAGTACCCTATTAATGCAAAATTATGTTCTCCCACATTCCCGCATCTGCAGAATGTCTCGCACTTGCATGCACTGAAGGTGGATCAAGTCCAAAATCCTGTGCATTCAGAATGAATGAAAAGCTGAGGCCAGTGCTCATTGCCAAGAAACCTGGGCTCAGAGTGGGGTGGGTGCTTGCCAGATTCTGCTACCACGAGCTTGGTAACACAGCTCCATGAGCTTGGTTAGCAATCCAGAAGTGTAAGGAAAAGATGCCATTCCTAGATGATTTTAAAGTATGTTGCCTTCATCTTTATGGGCACAAGAGCCCCATGGCGGTGACCGCTCCAAACACTTAAATTTAACCTCAATTGTCACAAAACATGCAGGTCTGGTAAAGACATGACTGATCAGTGTTCATACCTTTTGCTTCAGTTGTAAAACTGTCTGCTTTATTTGATGAAATTCCTTACAAGAGGCACAGCACGTCCCTGATTTCGCCACATTTTCAGATTTCTCAGGAAGCCCAGCTGAAAGAAAGCAGTTTCCAATACAAATATAAAGATCCTAGGCAAAGAAATTCATAAAGTGATTGCAAAAGCAACTTGAAGGTTGTTACATTTCTCCAGACTGTGAAAGGAAGAGAGAATCCTGCCATTATTAATGCTTTGACTGTGAATTCCTATGTAAGGCTGAGAAACTTTGCAGGGACAGCTCTGAGCTCATTTTTAAAGCAGCTGTTTCCAGTTAGCAGTCCCCAGAGAATTTCTTTTTTTAATACCTGAAAAAGTTTACACCCCTTCTTTTATCTTTGTGTGTAGGGTAGACTAACCCTATAGATCTGAACTGATTTACAGTCCCCCAAAGGGGAAATTTTCATATGCTATAAATTACAGTAAAATCCCTCTCAATATGGTCATTTAATTCACTTTGGACAAACTGCTCTTTATCATTGCCGGTTATTCCTCCATGTGATGGAATCAGCCTGAGCAGAGATGGGGATTGAGATTAATGACAGGGATTTAAATCCGCACAAGAGAAAGGGTCACACCTGTTGATAGTATGCATGAATGGGATCTTTTCAGGAATCCATTAAGTGACTCAAACTGTAAGAGATACCACAACTGTTATTTTTTCCCATTCTTGTACACAGTGAAGCACTTCTGCATTGCAAACAAGCAAGCACTGTTTCAACAGATGTCCGCTAGAAGAGAAATGTGGTTTCCAAAACACATACTGGCAAACTCTAGGTGAGGTTTTTTTTCTTTCACATGTAGCTGTTGAAAAGCATCAAGTTGTATTGAGGCCCTGCATATGATGTGTGGCCTTGTACAATGTTACCTGAAAGGGTTATTGGGCACATTTGAACACTGACCATTCGAAGCATGTTCCGGAATGGAAAAACATTGCAGGTGCTCCTGGTTAGAGCCAAAGATCTTCAAAAAGGATCACTATTGTATTGTAATTCTCACTTAGAAACACACTTTCATGTCTTTCATATTTTCAGAGATGTGTATTGATTTTTAAAACATCTGCATTATTTTAAATAAAACCAGGACTTTCTAATACTAAAGATACTATGTGGTACTTGACTTTAAATGTTTGCAGGGTCCAATAAGGAACACTGCACCCATGAGATGGTCATCTGTGGACCACCATTGCAGAAATTCAGGAAAAATGGATTTTCAGTATGTTTAGTCCATTGGCTATAACGCCACGTCAGGTATGCTTGCTTTTAGATGACAATCCAGGAGTGCAGCACAGGCTGGGATCTACCTGGCTGGAGAGCAGCTCTGTGGAAGGGGACCTGGGGGTCCTGGTGGACAACAAGCTCAATACGAGTGAGCAGTGTGCTGCTGCAGTGGCCAAGGCCAACGGGATGCTGAGTTCCATCAACAAGGGCATCACCAGCAGAGATAAAGAAGTCATTATCCCACACTACTCAGTGCTTGTCAGGCCACACCTGGAGTACTGTGTACAGTTCTGGTCCCCGCTATACAAAAAAGATGTGGACGGGCTGGAGGGGCTCCAGAGAAGGGCCACCAAGGTGATCAAAGGCCTGGGAAGCCTGGCGTATGAGGACAGGCTGAAAGAACTGGATTTGTTCAGCCTTGAGAAAAGAAGGCCTAGTGGAGACCTTGTCACCATGTTCCAGTATTTAAAGGGTGGCTACAAAGAAGATGGAGACTTCCTTTTTACAAGGAGTCACATGGAAAAGATATGGGGCAATGGGTACAAGTTACTACTGGGAAGATTCCAGTTGGACACAAAAGGAAAATTTTTTGAAATGAGAACAATCAGCCATCGGGATAATCTCCCCAGGGGAGTGGAGGATGCCCCAACATGGGACACTTCTAAGATTCAGCTGGACATGGTGCTGGGCTGTCTTGTCTAGACTGTGCTTTTGCCAAGAAAGGTTGGACCAGATGATCCTTGAGGTTCCTTCCAACCTGGAATCCTGTGCTTCTATGCTTCTATGAAATGTTTATTTCTTATCTCCTAATCAAGTAGGTGAGGGCTGCAAGGGCAAAATGCTGGAATGACCAACAGAGGTAAGACATTGGTATTAGCACTGATCTTATCAGAAGATTAGGAAGCAAAAGCTTGGGGGTTTTCCCCACTCATCAACTGCCTGCTCCCACAGCTGCAGTTCTTTGGCATTACAATAACCCCTGATATTCCTCTTTATTTTATTTAGCATTTTTATGGCACTAAGCACAGTGCTCTTCCCAGCCATTTCTGATAGCACACAGCTTGGTAATACCTGAACACCTTTCTGTACAGTGTTCAGATGGCTCAAAGGCTTAAGGCCAAAAGGTACTACCTGGGGTTTTCTGATGAACTCTACATAGCATATAATAGAATTTCACCAAATTGCAGCTGGCTCCAACACCTCCCAGAGGGACTCCAGCCATTGTGTAAGGATACCTGAATATGCAGCATCCACTGGTTTCCTCACTGCTGTATTTCTAACGCTAATTGTTTTGCTTTTGACTTCTTCCAAAGCCTCTTCGCCCATAAGTCTCCAATAGATCAAAGAATCTGCAGCACACTGGGTTTTTTTTTTCCTTAACAAGGAATTGATATGCTGTAATCAAGACACCTCTTGATATTTCTGTAAGGTAAGTTTTCTTTTGACTACGAGTCAGCGTAGTGGCTCCCTCATGGAGTTCTTCCCCTCTCTCCAATTTTTCAGCTTCCTTGAAAAAAATCAGTGTTTTGACATGTCCATTTTTGGACCTGTGTAGGATTTACAGATGCACATATATAGAGCCATTAGAAAAAATGCCTGTTTTTTTCAAACTCCTATAAAGTTTGGGTTTGGTACTAGCCTTAATCAAAATTTCTTTCAATAGCTACCTTACCAAATGAGTTCCCTCATAACATGCACACATTGTGTTAAGAAATGTTACTGAAAGCAACACAGAATCATAGGGAGAAACTGCCAGAGCCTCTGCTATTTGAAACCTAATTCAATCAGCGGAATTATATGCAGATTAAGAAGCAGTGAATTTGGCCTCATGTTTCATCATAAAATCCAGTTTATCTTCCAGAAGGATGTGGCACACGGGGCTGACAACTATAGATAAAACAGGGCTGTAAAAATCCACGGAGATGAATGCTGGGGGGGGTCAGCTAATGTTTGGAAATATCATACCAGTGAGATTTCTGCAAATCCAGTTGGATTGACTTGTCAGAGGAAGAAGTCCAACGGCGTCACATAAGCAAGCATGAGCTATGTCCCAGGAGAGAGGTGGAATCCCCCTAACTCATACCAGACAGAGGTGATGATTTGCCCAAGGAAAGAGTCATCCATCAAACATTCGCTCTACCCTCATCCAATCCTGTATCAGGACCAAACTATGAATAAAGCCAGAATAAAGCACGGATAAAGCCAGAAGCCACCTAGGACAGGCCAGAGGGGGCAGGAAGCAATTAGATGGAGCCACCCACGCGTGGTGCAGATACAAAGGTCACCTACTGGGGTCAGTTTGGCCAGCACTGAGCAAGACACTTACGTAGCCTGTTTTCATTGCACAGACCTACACCAGGAAACTAAAATTATTTTGGAGAAGGCTTAAATGGGCCCTATTTTATGAAGGTTTTCCAAAACATGATGCTTAGCTCACATGTGACGTTGCTGTCCTGACGGGGGTCCTTTTATCTCAGCGAGACACCGGTGAGCCCCACGGTGCCTATCGATAAGAGATCTGCTCGGTGGAGCAATGTGTTTCCTTTGCATGAGCTCTAAGACTCTTGTGTTGCTGATGCTGGAAGAGAAGGAGATGCTGGCAGGGGAGAGCTCTGCGGGGAGCTGTGCCGCGGGCGGTCTTCGCATGGAGCCTGTAGAGTTGGTCATCTGTGTTGTATTATCTGGGCTCAGCCTGCTGAGATGGTTTCATTTGCCTACTTCGGTGTGGGTAGCTGTATTGTCTCGTCAAATGCAACATGACTGTGGATGCGGGAAAAAATGCTCCCTATTCTTGTGCCTCGCTCACAAACCCAAAGCTCTCAGTCAAGCCCACATACAGAGCCAAAAAAGTGCCTGGATTGCAGCCTTCAGGCATGGCGCGATGAAAACGTGAATAATAATCCCCTGGGAAACATGCAACATGGTTAAAGCTGGAGAGGGATACATGTGTTTTCCTGTGTCTCACACTAAATTTTGAAATCAAATTTAAGTGTTCCAGCTACCATGAAAAGCAAATCATCTGTTTACTAGGAATTCATTCCAGTGTGGATGAGGTGCAATCCAGGGTGGTGCAGGGCTGGAGCTGACCACAGGGTGGTGTGTCACGACAGCCAGTTCCTCGAGGCTGCCGAAAACCTTGATTTTCTTTGAGATGAGTTAATGACACAAGCCCTGTGAAATAGTGACGGCCAACTCCTCTTTCATTTGCACCAGAGATGTGGCAATCAGTAACATTAACTTGGAGGACAGCAGTGTAACGCAGCAGAAAGTGTCCACCTCTGCTTCACACAGCTGATTTGGGGGATGTTTTGAGAGATGGTGGGTATTTCATTCCAGATGAACTACTGGAACTACTGGAACATTTTAATGTGCCATGTACCTTCAGTGTAAAATTGGTGTTTTTCAAATATTAGCATTATGCCCACAGCCTTGAATATTTTGAATGGTTGGTTATCCCGAATGCTTTGGGCATTACCCTGTCAGGAAATTTGAACTAGCTGGAGGAAAAGTTAACTAAAAAAACTACTTGCAAAGGGATTAGATAGGTTATACCTCCTTCCTTTATGACTGCCACATGCTTATAAGGAAAAAAAAATTTAAACTACAACAAACAATTAAAGTTAATGGAGAGGCTCCAGTTACACATTTTCAGAGAAAAATCAAAATTATAAATTGTTCTGGCCATCCAGCGGGACTTGGAGCACCCAGTGGTATATGTATTCAGGCATTAATTGATGAACCTATGGTAAGTCACCATTTATCAAAAGAGTTGTGGTTTTTTTCCCCAGAGCACAGGTTATTCTATTCCTACTTTCTTTTTAAATTGCCATATCAGTATTTAATCTGCAGTAGTCTAAATGCTGTAATTTAATAACTGGGATGAGGTAAAAAAAAATTTAAAATCAGTTATACACAGCACACACATATACTTCAAAACCAACAGTGAAAAGCAAGAACAAGCCCTCACTTTTACCCCATTCCCATCACATTACTTTCATAAAAAAAAGAAAAAAATCCAACCGCAGTCACAAGACACACAAACTAACTGCAGACCAGGAGAGTTCAGTGTTACTCAACATAATTTAGCAACCGATTTAAGCAATGCTTGAAAGGTGTGTGGAATTCCCAGGCACACCTTTTCCGAGCCTCTGAGTGCCCAGAGGCACAAACCACCCAAGCCAGGGCCATTTGCTCATCTCAGATGTCGGCATGTAGATGCAAATTAAACTCAGTGATATTAATTTAATTAACAGATTAAATTAATGAAGGCTTATAAGGGTCAGCATCTGACAATTTTTTTCCTATGTCTCCTGAGCTCTGGACTGCAAACTAGCTATAACCCAGGTTGGTATGGGAGCAAAATACGGTCTTTAGCAGTTGGATCAAGGAGAAATGGTCTAACTGAAGCTGTAATGGCAAGTCTCACCATCAGCCGCTCTGCCTCCCCAGGGGAAGATGCCTTCCACATTCTTCGATGTACTTGTGCTCTTTCTTTATAGATGTGACGACCGATTTACAGCTGTGTGTGTATAGCCCATAACCAGCAGGACAGCTCCACAGGTGCTCGGGTGCCCAGAGAACAACCCGGGGTCTCCAGGGGCATCACCTACGTCCCAGCTGCAGACCCCCGGCCCCAAGTGTAGCTTAGGGAGCCATTACTCTTTATGATGGATCAACCTTTTAGACAGCACTTTGGCCTGGGGCCTTTACCCCCCACTAGCACACTACCTTTATCTCCTTTGGTGCACGTCTTGCCGTCCTCCTCCCGGATATAGCCTTCGTGGCACTCGCACCTGTAGCTGCCCATGGTGTTGACACAGATCTGAGAGCACAGCGTCCCGTTGCTCGTGGCACACTCGTCGATATCTGGAGAGGAGAAAGAGCTGAAAATGTCCTGAATCCAGAGGTTTTGGACCTCAAATACAATGAAAGACTTCCCTTAAAGGTATTGGGAGATTTTGCGGTTAAATAAATGAGTGATTGCAGAACTGCTGGTGCTTTGGGCTGGAGCTCTGTGCAAACTTCACTGTTATTATTAACACACCTGGCATTTTATTGGTGAGCACCGTGTGACCGTCTCTTTGCATTGAAAATCTTCCAAGCAAAGCTCAGTCCTACAAATCTTGGGCTCCCTGGCACAGCAAACCATGGAGGGCTGTGAATCAGGGGGTACTGGCCACACAAGGACCACATGTAAGTGATCAGTTCTGAATTAGATACTGGCCATCTGAATCAAGCCCCAAGGATTTATTTTCATAATTAGGCATGGTTATAGTGCTTCAAAGTTACTGTTAAAAGCATGTCTCTTGTCTCAGGCCAAAACCCCAGATATGACTCAAAACCTGCAGGAGGAATTAATAAAGGGAAAATTACATCAGCCTAAAGACTTCAAAGTGTTTGGGTGCATAGGTCTTGTTTTAGGTACTGCTACCTCCTAATAATTTCAGGGGGACTTAGATCTCTTAATTCTGGGAACCAATCCTTCACATAGTTAAAAACCACATTTATTTTGGAACAGTAAAGAGAATAAGAAAGGTTTCAGACCTAAACTGACTCCTAAAGGACTGGAGGGAGCAGGACACATCATTAAGCAGAGACGAGCTCAACACGCGCTTCTACCCACCCAGGCAGTAAGGCTTCTCTCTGTTCCTGTGCCTCTCCCGATCGTAGCGGTACCCAGGGTAGCAAGTGCACAGGACTCGCCCAAAGTTATCTGTGCACTGCTGTTCGCAAGGAGCTTCCGCACAGACGTCATAGTCTGGGGAGGGAAAAATGTGGTTAGGAAAATAGCAATGGCAGCAGCTGGATGACACTGTGACAGGAAATATTTCACCTCTCTGCTAAGTAATACAGTCAGGTTACATTGGTTTTGAGGATTGAAGAAACCTAGAAATAAAACATTTGTGAGACATAAGTGAAGAATTATAGTAGATTTGTAATTGCTAATTACAGCTTTACAGTAGTTAGACTATTTCTTAAAGTTGGATTTTAAGCATGGGGCACTTTCACAGTTTGCAGAATTTAAGAATTCTTCTCACAGAAATATTAAAATTACCTAAAAGCTTTTTGCTGTTTCCTTCCACAAATTTTTAAGCACTGATAGCAACATTTCCTAAGAAAAATGCTGTGAGGCTAACTGCCGTCTCTGGGCAGAAAGTATATTATAAGGAAAAGTTAATTAAAATTGCACAACAATTGTTCAAAGCCAGAGATGACCCTTCTAGCAAAGAACACATTGTTACAAAAACATCACCACTCTTAACAATAGCAATGTGAAGATTAGATATGGCTGGGCTTGTCAGTGAAATCCCAGAAAACTGTCTGAAGTTGCCGTTTGAAACCTGAAGGAGGGTGAATCTGTTTCTGATTTCACTGCTATGTAGCAGCAGAGCCGCAGTCCAGGGAATGGACACTGGAGCAAAACAGGGTCTGACCTGCACCCCTGCCCTGCCAGGGGCTGGATTTGACCCCTGGCATCAGGCTGGTGGCAGGGGCTGGGGGAGATGGGCAGCCCCTGGCCACGCGTGCAGGGGCTTTGCAGCACCATGGGGAACATTTGCCAGGAGAAGACAGGAGCTGAAGCAGCATCCAATCTCAAAACCAGCTCAGTTAAACCCTGCTGAAGGTCAGGTTTTATGCCAAAGCAAGTGGCAATTTCTGTGATCATTTCAGAGGAACATCATCCTTCACACAGCATCCATGTGGTTGTCACTGTGGCCCTCCAGTGATTGGGTACTGGGGGCTGCAGCAGAAATACCCTGTCCCTGCTCCAGACCAAGTACATCTAAACAAATCCTAGATGTTTCAACCAAGTTCCCAGCAATGCACTGAGTTTCCAAATAGACAGCATAAAAGAATTAAACCCCAGACTCATTATTGCCTCACACTAATGACTAGCAGACATCTCTGGGTATGATGATTTTTCCAAGCAATTAAAATAAACTAATAGATGGTAAAGCAAGTGAAACCACATTTGCTGTATGGAGTACATAGTGCATACGTGTAGCACTGGGGATAAAAGTGACAGTGTTCCAGGGTACAGAAAAGCACCAAATGAGACCTAAGAAGGTGCTGTATGTCACAGCAGAGCCCCTTAGACCAAAAAATACTACTGTAATCATGCCAAGCATTTCCTCCCTTGTGCTTGTCACCTTTTGAATAGCAGGTATCCATTATTTCCTTTTTAATTCACAAATGTGAATTAAATTTAAGTTGATTTTAACTCTTGAAGTCTGCTCACAGTGCTGTGGCAGGGAATGGCAGTGCCAGGACCCCCAGGAGGAATCTGGGTTGAATAGTGCAGAGCCTGACACAAGTGTGGAAGAAAAACATGGTCCTTGTCTTCAAACACTGTCAGCCTGGGTGCTAGTTTGGGTTTTTTAGGTGGTGCTGGGGCTGTAAACTCCCATTACATTCGCTGCTACTAAATAGTCCCAAATATAAAGCATTAGTGGTGTTTTTCCTGGGCACGGCTCAAATTTTCATTCTCCACTCAGATGGAGAACAGGCTAGTATGCCCAGCACTGAGGTGAACATGCCTGCTCTTTAGCCAGCATGCTCAAATCCAGATGTGGGATTTGGCCTGTGCCACGTTCAGCCTATTTAAAGCAGAGGCAAAATGAGCTCTGTCCTCCCTGTGCTTCCATGAATAGATGTGCCCTAATAAATTCATAAAAACCACTGCTAGAAGGGACCATCTTCCATTGCAAGCAGCATTAGCTATGTGTAAGCCTTTCCTAATAGACACTAATCTAACCTGTGCTTAGAAATGAGGGATGGAGATGCCCAACCACCATGCATTCTATTCCCAAGATTAAATATCCTTGCAGATAAAGTTTTTTACTCATATCTAATCCAAACTGCCCTTACAGTCATTTAAGACCACTATTTTTGTTCTCTTCTTCTTGGCCATGAAGAACAGTTTACTTTCCCCCTTGCAGCAAGTTTTCACATACCTAAAAACTGTTATCACATCTCCCCTTAGCCTCCTTTTCCCTAGACTAAACAACCCCAGCTCTTTTTAATCTTCCCTCTTTTGTCATATTTCATGTAGCTACTCTTCAAATACGTTTTTGACATCTACTTTAGCAGAGCTCCATCAAGACCATTGCTTCACTTACTTTCATACAAAGCTAGGGAAGGGTCCAGGAGTTGGAAATCTCCCTGCTGGTGGTTCCCACACAGTCAATCCAAATCACACAAAGACTCTGGGCAGGTCCCTCGTCATGGAGCTGTGCATCCCCAGGGCTTTGGTCCCAGGCAGCACCACTCCCTCAGGGACGGTCCTCACAACTGGGATGAAATTGGGCAAAAGCTGCTGCACCACCTCTACGTGCCCTGCAGAACTGCAGATGCATGCGCCCTCCCACGCGCCCCTCGTCTGCCAGCCCAGCCTGAGAAATGTGGTTTGAGGATGAATCAAAGCCACACGGTAAAGATCAGGCTGTTCCAGACTTTAGGAAAATACAAAAAACTGATGCAGAATAGCAAATGTCTACACGTATATTTCGATGAACCTGGGAATGACAATGCAGTATGCAAAGTTGTACCAAGGAAATTTCTGAAATAGCATTTGTGAGGAAAGAGCAGATCTGATTAGTGTTCGCCTGTTGTAGAGTATTTTGCTCTCAGTTAATCCACAGCCGAGAAACTCAAGTAACAAACCAGTGGTAGGGAGGGTGCTCTCCAAAAGAAGCTGTTTCAGACTACATCTGTCCCTGCTTTTCTCTTGGTGATGTCACGAGACAGGACCTGGTTGGAGCTGTGAGTCTCCAAAGCAAAGAAGGAGGGGATCATTTGGGAGAAAAGGGTGGAGGAGCTCCTTTTTGACCTGCTTTGCTGTCAGGTGATGCAGGAAGGGGGCAACCAGAGTCACAAAGCAAACTCCTCTTGATGTTTCCTGAGGGTCATGGCTCCCTGCTCCTGCAGCTGAAAGCCAGAGCGAGAAGATGAGTCCAAAGCAAATGAAATGCAGAACCTGGGGGCATAGACTCATACCGGACTGCGCTGATTTCTGTTGCTTTTCAAGGGCAGGCGAGAAATAACAGGACAGAAAACAAAGATGGACATGGACAAAGACACGACCCTTTTGGAGTCTGTTTAAATAACAGCTGTCCAAGAAGAAGATCAGTGTCTTCCCGAGGCAGCTGTAAGGGGGTGGACAAGGCAGGGTCTATCCCTCTCGCAATCCCTCTCCCTGCAGCCACTGCTAAATCATGGAGAAGACAGGGCTGGAACTACTTCTCATGGCTTTGGCTTGCCAGTACTGGATTAAAAGGTGCAGATGTGCTCTAATAAACTCACATCTGTAATGTATTTATGTGCCTGTGTCGAGATATGTGTTTCATACAGCTACTCTGTCAAGATTATGCCAAAACAATGTGTGAAGAGCCAAGTGATGTCTTGCAACAAAGTGAAATGAGTGCTTCACTGAATCGTGTTTCTCGTCCCTGTACCAAGGGCCCAAGATCGTCTCAGATGTTACAGCAATTGCTGGGGCCTCTAAAGTTCAAGGCAAAATATAGGTCGAGCTGAAAAAGGGGGAATGGAGATACAAAGGGAGAGAAGCCACAGCCAGCAGGGAAATTCAATTAGTGGCAGAAACTCTCATGTTACTGAGATGCAGTTAATAGACAGGATTAAGCGACGTCAGTGGGTACATAATAAAAGCTGCTTTCATAATCACCTAAAACCTCAAGAGATGAAAATTAGAAGCCTAAAATAATATATTGCCATGGCTCTCATTTTATTTTTGCTCCTATTACTTTTCCTGCTGTATCCATTATATTTAGCGAATAACCAGTTTATAAAATTGTTACAACCCATAGGAAAGCTGGAGGCCAGACTGTGGAGTCCTGGCTTCTTTCCACCCCAAAAGGATTCAGGGCTTCTGGCTCCTACGCACACAGCCACCTTGCACAGTATGGCACGACCGCCTCCTCCACGTGTCCGTCTCACACTGGAGCTGTCATCTCAGGCCACACACACCGAGACAAACCCCACTGCAAATCCATGGGACGAGGAACTCTGTGTGAGCATCAATTTCACCCAAACCCTACCCAGCTCCCTGGGGCTTGGGCTGGCACTGTGAGCCGTCTCTTCACAAGGAAGCAGCAAATGCACAATTCCTGTTTTAAGAAGATGTGGGGTTTTTTTCTTTTTTTTTCTTTTTTTTTCTTTTTTTTTCTTTTTTTTTTGCAACCACTGTTCTAGTGTTTCCAGCCAGCAGAAAAGAAGATAGAAATTTAAAAAAAAAAAAGAAGAAGCAGGATCAGAATTTGGGTTATAATTCCTGTTGGCTGGAGACTGTAACTCAAAAACCAGCTGACTCTTTCCAGTATGTTAATCTGTCACTTTTCCTTTCAAAACATCACCATCCCAAACTGGGAAGACTCTCAGGTCAACTCGAGGCTTTCCATATGCCATCAAATAGAAGGATGTGTTACCATAAACCAACTTTTTAACCTGATTTTTGAAGCAAACAAGATTTATTGGCTTGTCATCTCTGACCGTTTGCTTCTGCCTAATAGTTCCTCTTCTCCTATAACTTCAGAGCCAGTTTCATCTGAATTGGGCAAAGTGGTGGGACCAGCTGAAGAAGTTACATTGCTACTGCTCAGTGAAGCCATCGGCTGGGTAGACCCAACAGAGGCCTTCCCCAAGGCTACAGCAGGCAGAGCTCAGCCTCTTCCTAAATGAGATCGTGTTGCAGCAACCTCTGAGCATTGGGACTGCCTTTGCAAAATGCATGGGCAGCTCCCCTCTGCCAGGAGGGGATCATTCCCTTTTCACTACTGCATGAACTACTCCAAGTAATTCCTGATCTCCCTCTGCCTGTGGGGACAAGGAAGCTGTCACCATGACCAGGAGAGGCTGTGGAAGAGAGATACTGTTTGGCGATGCTCTCCCCTTGCTGACATCTTTGGGAAATGGGTAACTAAAGGCAGGGCTAACTCACCAAGTCACCCACCCCCTGTGCACTTACAAGCCAAATTGACTGTGCCAGATCCAAGGGGTACATGGTGAAAGCCATCAGCCAAGAGAGGTGTGCTCCTGGGTCCAGAGAGGGCCCCCATGTACCTAGCCAAGAGCAAAATGCATCCTTCTGCAGCAGGTCATGGTACAAGATCTGTGCAGCCACGTGTACTTAGGGGAGGATCAAGGCTTGGCATGCTAAGTGAAACTTTTGGAAGACGCTGATCTTTTTATTTTCCCAACAGTTTCTTGGAAACAGTTCCCCCACTGACACATGAGATACGGACGAGCCTGCGGTTATATTGGATGCTCTTGCAAATATATTGGATATATTGGATGCTCTTCCAAACTGTCAGTGTGGAGCACTGGGGGGCAAATGGGGAAAGACAAATGCATAAGGATACAAGGGGTAAGAACAGTGAAATCACATACCTTCAGGGATGCACTGTCCAAGAACAAACTTATAACCCTTACAGCATTTTTTCCTGAAAAACAATAAAATAAAGAAATGAATAAATAAATATATTCTCTGAAGGCTGGTGCTGCCTTTAAAAACAGTCATGGATAGATCATGGATGTGATGAACCAAACAAGGTGAGGATCTTGAGCTTTGCAGTTGGAGGTATCTCACATCAGGCATTTTAAATGACAGCATGGCCACCCACCTCAGGAGCCTGGGGCTGGGTACCTCAACGCTGACCTACTCAGCATCCCAACTACTTTCTGAAAACCCTGCTCACTTGTGTTGAAAGGATGCAGCACACCTTGGTGCTGTCCATAGACACAACCTGGGTCATAATTTTCATGATACGGTGAAGGGTGTTTTCAAACATCTGTCATTACAATGTAAACTTGCAGAAAGGGGCAAGTCTTAGAGAGGAGTGCGCACAAGATAAATGTTATCAGTCATTTCTCATCTTTTAATAAACGTGGAAGGTGATAAGTGAAATGTATTGGGTATTTCAACCGGAGCAAAGGATGGTATCTTATACAGGCAGGGGGACAAAACTGCAACTTAGAGTCAATAGGATGAGGTATTTTTAATGCACCTGTGGTATGAACAAAGCCTGAGTGCTTTACACACTGGCTTGTAATGATATTTGGGTGTTTAGCTGTATCTGCTTATTTTGCTTTCTAGGCAGCAAACCACATCAAGTCACCAGGACTCCCAGCAGTGCTGAGGAGCCTTTACAAACGGCTGTGTCCCTTATCACCCTCAGAGCTACTCGCTGCAGGGGCCTGGTGGCCTTCGAAGGGTCCCAGGGTGGTGGCTACCAGGACTGCTGCAAAAGAAGCAAACTGCTGTTAAGTGCACTGTTTTATCAAGTCTGTATGAGTCTGAGGGGAAAAAAAAACCCCTGTATTTCACAAATTCACAGTTTTTCATGCCTTGTGGACATGCTGAAGTATCTGCAAAACTGGGAAACCATCCATTTCATCTTACCCTTTAATTCAGTAACTGAGGCAGAAGAGTGCTAAAGCCATGGCAGTCAATGACACAACACTCGCCTAGACAACACGCAGCCATCACAAATCATCATTATGTTGAATTTAAATCAACTATCAGTTGCAACTGACCACTTAAAACAAACAATGCGTTACTCCAAACTATGTAAAAACAAACTTTGGCTCCATATTTTACCCTCTTCCAAAGATTAGCTGGAATATAAATTATGCTTAATGAAGGCTGAACATCTGAAGAGGAAGCCTTGCTTTGTTATGCAAACAGTGGTCCCTCATTAGACTTTTCTCCAAACACTGCTGTGAAGTTTTATCTGCAAGACAAACAAATGCAGGAGGAATGAGTTCAAAGGTGCATCGGGGAGGCTGTTCATATGCTGCAAGCCACGCCGATGGCTTTCCAAGTGCACATTCATCTCCTCCTGTCTACGGAAGAAGGGAGGCTGATAAAGGCTTGCTTGTAGCTGCTCTTCAGCGGAAGATACAGCCCGGCTTGAGGGATGGCTGGGAGATGTGAGGGGAGAGGAGGGCATCCCTGCCGTGAGATGCTGACCTGTGGGGTTGTGCCAGCCAGAGCTAACCAGAAAGGGGGAGCAGCAGCTTTCATCATTTCTACCCTTCTTCCTGGGAATTCCCACATGATTTTCAGGCTGAGGACCCTCAGGACTCCCACCCTTGGACAGGCTTGTGGCAGCAGATGCAAACCTCAGCCAGCACAGCCCACCCCTGGGTAAGGGCTCGCCTGCTGCAAACCTTGCGGGAGCTGCCTCTCTCCTCTCATAGAATCATAGAATCATTCAGGTTGGAAAAGACCTTTAAGATCATCAAGTCCAACCGTTAACCTAACCCTGCCATCCCACCACTAAACCATGTCCCTAAGCACCTCGTCTACATGTCTCAGCTTGGCCAGCAATAGCTTTTGGCTGGACTTGTTGGCTTTCTTCCAGCTTCTTGCAGTTGTATCTGCCTTCCTGGACTCTCCTGATAGCCAAACCACTTGCCCTGATCAAACCCCTCTCCCACAGTCACACACTGAGAACCCGCCACATGCAGCCCTTAAATACTGCCCTGGCACCCTGAAGCAAGCACAGCCTTGTGTAGCCTCACCGGGGGTTGCTCCAGTTAAAACAACCAGAAAATCGTGCTGCCCCGGCAGATGTCCAAGCCCCTGCTGAAATCCGCCTCTTCAACAGCTTCTTGCAGCAATGAGTTCCACAGGGGGATGAGATGTTTTTGAGAAATCATTTCCTTCTTTTCAGTCTCCCTTTCAATTTTTCTCGAATTTTCCCAGGGTTAACTGGTAAGGAGATTTGGAAATGTTTTCTCTAAATACTCAAAGATTTTTCCACTTCATGAAAGCTTTAAATCACACCTAAAGAAGTGGTTTAGAGGAGGGATGCCCTGCTTTCAGGATCACACTCCAAGACCAAATTCCCCGTGATAGTCAATTCCCAGTTCAAGATTTCAGATCTCTGTATTAGCACAGGCCCCTACTCATCAGCAAGCTTCAGCCAGCAGTGTGATTTTGCCAGGGAAACTGCTACTTCAGGGTTAATGCAGAGGAAATACAATACGACAATACCCGTTTCTCCGAACATTACATTGCAACCCTGGGATTCCTGCATGCTTTAGCTTTTCAGAGTCTTAAAGAGAAATCTGTCAAAATGATGGACACATGAGTTGATCATTAGCAAAGGCATTTTAATAGCAATACTCATTTTCAGACATCCAGCTCCAGGTTGACATGTCTAATCAACGTTGCACAGCAGCAATCTCGTTACACATAATGAGAGGTAAGAGGGGGTCCCCACTGATAATTTTAGCTACTGAATAACTTTCAGCGAGGCAGTTGCTACGCAGCTGTACATGTGAGCGTGCATCAAACACAAACTAATACACGGCTGTGTAAGAAGCTCAGCCACTAAAATCTGGATCTATGGGGCAATTAAGTTGATTCATTAACTTTAAATCTGGTTTCCAAAAGGAGAAACTTCTGGCAGACTTATCTGTTACAGCGTTTAATAGGGTGCTTCGGCTTATTAAAAATATAGCAACTTCTGATTCTCATGCAGTTGTCACTCAGGAACATGCACAAGCCCAAATTCGTAGAAGGTTTTGTGTACCACGATTTTGATCACTGCAGTGTCTAGTGTTTGTGTTACCTGTAGGAAAATCCATAACAATAGGGACTCTCTCAAAGCAAAGTCACCCTTTTTTCCTGACAGGTAGCTGCAGGGAGATACTGAGCTACTCCCCTCTGCTCTGGAGGTCGAGAATGCTCCAGGATCATTGAATGTCAGAAGATGGGATTTAGGGTCAAACCTTTGATACCAATAAACACATCCGTGACTAGGCAAGCAGCTGATCTGCCTTTGTTGCAGGCTTTTGTGGCCCACTGCCTTGCAGACAGAGAGCGGAGCTGAGCTTTCCAGGAGCACCCCATGTCCCATCGCCTGCACCTCCCCCCTGTGCTCGACGCACGGCGGTGCACCGGCACAGCACCCCCCGCCCCATCTTCCAAAGCGGTAGCTGCTTGATAGCATCACCCCAGACAGGCAGGATGAAAGGCAAGATGCAAGGAATGTGGCTTAATTAAGCCACTGCTTTATTAAGTTAGCTTATCTGGCAGCTATCAGCAGTAACTCATCCAGTGCGGGCCATGTTTTTTTCCCATAATTGTTTCCACCTGGTGTAGAGCTGCCATCGCCCCCAGCCCACCTCCTGCTCTGCGCCGGGACACCGCGACCGCCAGCGGTGCCGGGGAGACTGGGGTATGCTGAACAGAGAAAATACTTCTGTTCGAGAGGGAAGGGAGCAATTCAGGGTTCCACAGCAGCTGAAATGCTTTGGAAATGCAAACAGTAACAGGATAAACACTTAAAGTGATAATTAACCTGTCTGCAGTAACATGGCCACGCTTGGGCTGTGACAACGGCTGGCTCGGAGCTGCTTGATGCATTACTGAGGTTTTGGTTAACTTCAGCAAAGAGGCAACTCTCAAACTCTATCACAAAAATTATCTTGAAAAAGATACCTGACGGCCATTTAATGATTGAAAAAAGGGAAGGCAAAGGGGAAATGTGAAGGGAAGGGAAAAAGAAAAGTTTTATACTGGTTTCATAGTATGTAAAGGAGACTCTTGCTAAAGATGTCAGAAGAAGAAACAGAAGAGTCTACTCCAGGAAATATTTGCCTCCTAGGAGCAAAGCAGACACAGAAATCCCTACGCTGCATCAGAAAGTGAGTTCTTAGGGTAAAATATTACCCTTTATCCCTACAATGCTGGGGTTCAGACAGACAGTACACCTCCAGGATGGCTCCATCCAGACAGGGGTAATTAAAGCAGAGGCACTTTACCTCCCATTCACTGGGGCTAGGAGCACACGCAAGGGCAGTTTCTATGTTTCTATAGCTCAGCTGGTGCCTGAGGTCGCTTCACTGGGAGGTGCAGCAGCTCCATAGGTGGTCAGGCAGTTCAAATCCCTCCTCTCCAACATGCCATTTCTGACCCATGGATGCGAGAAGAGTCACCGTTTAGGGGGCATAAGAGCCCCTTAACTTTTTAGGTACGTTTAGATGCATCAACACTGTTCTCCCAGGTCTGGTAGAAAGTAATGATAATACAGTCGAGCAAATGTATTTAATCAAAAAACCAATTTCCTATTGTGGTAAGATAGAAAAAATAAAATTTAAGCATATTTCTTCAGACAACGTCATAACATGAACTCAGAAGAACTTGTGCCATATCTTGAAGACCTGAGTCAGCAAAGACCATGGCATGGCGGTGTTTAATTGCACAAAGGGGTCTTTGTTAGACTGGCTCCTTATTGTACCTGCCCAGTGTTTCTTTTTGATCACCCTGTCTTTGAGAAATACATAGTGCAGCAAAAATGCAAATATAAAATTCAGCAATTAACTTACAAAAAATAATTAGCTATAAAAGCAAGCCAACAAGTTGCATTAAAAAAACCAAAACCAAACAACACTTGTTTTTCTCATATTCTACACACAATCCAAATGAGGG